GGTCAGAGCGCAGGGCTCATAACCTGATAAACTCGGGGCTGTGAAGACAAGGATTAGATCCGACTAGAGTCGAAGCAAGATCTTCAGTCAGTAAGGAAAGACTATATTGCAGTAACAAACTGTACCTAGAGTCGAAGCAAGACTACAAAGGTTAAGTAAGTAACTACAAGTTAGAGGTAAAGGTAATGAAGTACTCACTCTTCAGTCAGTAAGGAAAGACTGAAGAGGGAGGATGCAATCTGAAGTCCTTATATACTACAGAGAAGTGTCCATGACTAATCGAAGAGTGGTTAGTCACATGTACCATAGTGCGATGAATAATACAATGACAAAAGAATTGCGACGTATCGCACCATAGGATGAGTAAGAGATGAGTAAGGCATAGACCTGTCTAGACCATTCTGGAGTAGTACGGATTGTCCTAGACAGTACTAGAAGAGTCCGGAAGCATAGCTATAGTACACGAGCAGAGAGTCCCAAATATGGTAACATACTACATAAGCGACTACAGCTAAGCGCTAGGAGATGCATAGCCTCGTGTAGTCCGGACCGGATAAGTCCAAGTTCAACACACTGTACTCACCTCTCTCGCTTCTCGCACTACCTATCGTACTCTCGACGACCTCTGCGACCTCCGATGGGTCCTTGCCAAATGTCATGCCACAGAGGTCCTCGGACTGCTTGAAGAGCTCAATCGCGAGGTTGCTTTGGTCACCATGCTGGAGGAGAAGGCTCAGCGAGAGGCGGAGGAGGTTAGGAAGAAGGCGCGGGAGGACGAACGTGAGCGCGAGCGCATCCGTAAAATGATCGAGGCCGCTAAGAGACGTGAGGAGGCTGCTCTCAAGAAGGCTGCCGAGGAGGCCCGGAAGTCTCGGCTCAAAGCAATCAAGGAGGTGGCCAAGGCGATCGGGAGGAGACAGAAGGAAGCTTTTGCTGAAGAGTTCAAGGCAAGGAGGAGAGCGGAGAAGGAAGCTGAGAAGGTGAGAAAAGCGGAGCAGCGGGAGCCAGAGAAGGCTAGAAAAGTGGCGGAACGTGATGTGAAGAAGGAGCGGAAGAAGGCTGAAAAGGAGGAGTTCAAGCATAGCTCACGTAGGGGCAAACGAAAGGCGGATGAGTTGCAGGACGGGGATACAGCCGTGGCTCGTTCAGCAGCAAAGCGACCACGGTGTGGGAAGGAGAACGAGCCGCCAGACGTCAAGAATTCCCTTATCGGGCAGGGTCTCAACTTTGACGCCGGCATTGTGGCGCCAGTTCTACCCCGTTCTCAACCTCGCCCTCACCCTCTCAAACGTCCTCGTGTCGAGGACGGCCTAGGTGAATATCCCCCCGCACAGGTAAGCCCTTATTTTGGCCCGTGAATATGCTCTAATACATTATTTGGTGTCATAGATTTCCGCAACACCTCAGCGACCGCCCCCCAGTTCCGTGACCTTTCCCCTCACTGCGACCTCTCCCATCACCATGCCCTATCCCCTCACCCCTTCGACGACTTCTCCCTTTGTGCATTACCCCACTACTCACAGCTACATACCTCCCACTCCAACGTCCTTGCCTCGCGCTTCAACCTCCCTAGCCCGCTTCGCACTCTATCCCCGCCCCCCTGATTTGACCGATGTCGACGAGGATCCACTCTCGTCCCACTACTGAAGCACTTCGACGCAATCGTCGTAAGCCTCGGCCCAGGCTCCCCGGATAATCCCCGCGATATTGGCATCGTCAAAGATGTCTGGCACATCTCCCAGGGCCTCTCAACCCCTATCTTTGGTGTCCGCTCCGTTCTACAGAGTCTCACCATTGATCTCGGCGCACAGCCCCAACATCTCATTGTAGTCAAACACAGTCAGGTCTGCCGTGTTGAGGACCCAGCCATCGTCATTTTCACCGACGTCAGCGACGTCCACGCCGTGCAATATCACTCCCTTCACCTTGTCCTCCCCCCACAGTCCGACATTGTCCCACTCGCTTGGGCGGACAATGCTCAAGAGAACAGTCATGTCCTCATGGCATGCAAGCATCGTTCCAAGCCCTTCTCCGCCATGCAGTGCCGTCCCACTTTCAACTGGTCGTCCCCTAATGGACCCACCGTTACTCCCTGGGATTCCGACGCGGAGGCCGTCATCAACGCGTCTTGGCCCATCGCGCGCCCTGAAGCGGTTGCTACGGGCGAGGAGCGCTCCTTCCCCGTGTCTACCAGACCTCTCCGATCCATCCGCCGGACATCAGTCGCGCATGCGAGATGCTCAGCGTCGAGCACGACAGCAAGAACTTTGTCATGCTCGACTCTGCTGCCTTGCCCGCCCGCTTCTCTGTAGTCGGTTGCCTCACTCCTACCTCCTCGAAGATCATGCCCGAGATCCCGTTCTGGGGAGGGCTTCTCGGCTACCTCAACTACGAGCTCGGCGTCCAGATGTTGGCCTCGCTCCCGCCACCCCTCGACGGACCGGACCGGACCCCCTGCTTCTCAAGCGCCCAAGCTCGACGTTGCGCTCCCCGCCCGAGCCATGACTCTCCCGAACCGCGACGTGTATGTCGCCTCCGCGACTGAGGCCCCCTCCTTCGGGGACTCGTACAAGCTCTGCGTGAACCCCCACGCGCGTCGACGCGCCTAAGGCCCTCCGGGTGCGCAACCCCGCACCGCACGCGGCCTACGTCCGCCTGCACCCGTCGATGTGCGTTTCGAGCCCCCCGTGACGTAACAACCCCCAACTCGAGATGGAGTACACCTGTCTGCACAACGTTCACGGTTGGAGGGATGTGGTGCAGATCCCGCGATCGAGGATGTCCTCGTCGTCCGTCCCGAATATATCTGGCTCAGGGAGACCATTGAAGAGTACGAACGTTTTGGTACCGACAGGCCAGCCAGGCATCGGTTCGTGCAGTCACTTTCTGTCTTCCTGATTGTGCTAATGTGTGCCCGTCTAGTCTAGAACATCATATGACTCAGTCGTCGCTCTCTCAAAGTCCCGTTCATCCCACCATCGCTCAGCTGCACCGTCCACTATGAGCTTCACACTGCCCGCAGTCATTACATCCAAAGCCCAGTTTGATTCTCCGCCTTTCATCTCTCGCCCATCCTCCTTATTATGCAACTTCGAGGTGCGGTACATCCTCACCAACCGATCAACATCCTGGTTCTTCGATGGCTTCCCATGGTGAGAACCACGCCCAATCACACTTGAGAACTGACTTGCCACACTCGCTTTGACAGCGCGCAGGGTTGTGATTGCAGGAGATATCTTTTGGATGTAGGGAAATGTGGCGCCTGGTCCAAATGAGCGCCACGTAACCTAGAGGAATGTTGTAAGTCCAGGCCATCCTCTTTGTCGAAACCTTCTCACCTTGATATCCTTAATATTATGCTCCTGTGCCATGTCAACAGCCAAGAAACTGTTCCGTTTGCCTGTGAAGTTCACGAGCCAGCAATAGTGTCGAATGTGGTCGCTAGTCATTAATAGTAAGCCCTTTGTCATAGCATATGAAGGATAATCTATTGATGTACCGGAACTCCTGTGGCCACTCACATCGCAGCTTCTGTATCAGCTCCAGGATCTCAATCGTATACTTGGGATTTGAGCCTCCTGCAAACCGGAACAGCAGCGTGGGAAGGAGGTCCTCCATGCGCCCCACATCGCCGATTTGCATAGCTTCCCGAAGATCGAAGCACGGCAACAGGTCTGTCGCAAACATTACTGTCTGCCGCTTCACCTCATCGCGCTTGCGATTCGTGAGAGTATCAAGGTTGTGGATGGCCTCCCACGATGCGTGCGCGCGGAAGATTTCATTTGTAAGGCTGATGAGCGTCTCTGGCGGCTTGTCTGTTAACGCGGCAAGATCGTCGACCTCCGCAATGGCCATCCAGAGCGATAGGAAGTGAGCTTCCCCAATGTGCCACAGTGCTTCATCGAGATTGTGCCAGAAGACGCCCTTGGTCTCCTGTTTCATCAGCCCCTTCCTCCCGAGCGTCTCGAAAGCTTTTCGTAGCCCAATTCCAGCCGAAGTTCCGAGATATTGGGCATGCAGTGAGTTTGCAAAAGCCATCATTGCATGGAACCAGCCGAAGTGGGGCTCGTAAAAGTCCATGTGTTCGAAAGAATTGATGTCATCGTAGCGGTACCGGGTCAAGCCACGCGTGCGCTCAACAGTTACTTGGTCGCCAACCCAGACAAGTTTCCACTGTTCACCAATGGTACGTTTGTCCTCATCGGAAGAGAACCCTAGCTGACCCAGCCAGATGTTGTTGCACAGGTGGTCGGTACCATCATAGGTACTTTCGTCAACCTCGACTGTTTCGAGAATGTGCTGTCTCGTAACGTGATTGGCGCCACAGGGAAGGTGGGGCAGCCAAGCGTGGGTCTTCACGGTAGGCATAATTTGTAAAAGCAGGCGAGTCGAGGAGAAACCGGAGAATGCGGTAGCGGGCCTGCGCGGCAACACGGGTACGTGCACAATCGGCTTCCGGCTGGCCAGTGATGTAAAGAGATTCGAAGGGAAAGTGTTGCTTGCTTCCCTTGCGGTGACTCTCCTTGACGTTTGCAGCCATTTCTGGTGGCAGAAAGGCTTCTTGTGGGAGTATGTATATAGTTGCGGCGGAGGCATTGATGAAATGACTTGTATTGGACAGGCGTTGTGAGAAGACGCGCAGCGGGATATTTAAGTTGTCGTGGGAGCCGAAATAGGGATGGTTGCGGACAGCCTTACACGTCTCAGCTAATGCATTCCGTGAGATGATCGCAAACGCATTTGCAGTCCACTTGTGGCTCATAACAAGTCCAAGGGAGTGAAGGACATCAAATGCTCGAGCTGGTACCCCGCACGCCTTGAGGTAAATGGACCACAGGATTGTTAACCGGGCATTGTTGTGCGATCGGGAGTAGCATAGCATGGTGATAATGGTCAAGATGACCTGTTCAATATTTGCCTCATGTTATAGAAGCTTTCATCTGAATAGTGCATAAAACCTTACATGAAATGGATTTTTGGTGGTGTTCTCGAGCTGCTGCCGCCTCGTCCAGGCTAAGCGCTGTAAGAGACGCCACAGGAGCGGTGTTCCAGTAGTCAGGAGTTGAATACCAAACTGCCGGAAGTTGACTGTAGTGAGGTTCTCATACGAGAGAGGGTCCAAATCTTCAGGGAGCCGAAAAGAAGAAGTGGCACCATGCACCTCCTCCTCAAGCATTTCCCCAGCATGCACCATGACGAACTCCCGGACCGCGGCCTTCCACCACTTGCATGGTCATGTGTCGGTGGATTCCACCAGCGCTCAAGGACTGTAGGAAGGGAGGTGCTGTTCATGAACACCGTACGTTTGTGTCGAATTTTCGGATTGGATATGCAGCCGCGATCTCTCCAGAAGAGTGCATTCATAAAAAGCTCCAGATTGATGCCCATTGTATTCATATAAGTAATACATGCAAGGACCCGATCCTCGAGAGTCAATCCACCAACTCCAAGGCTATCTTGCAGCGCCCGAGTGTAAGATTCATAGAGTGTGGAGCGCGCATGGGTGCGAGGAGGAGGATCTGCAAGCGGAGGAGGCGAGGGGTCAAGATCTTCAGTGTATGAGTCTAAGTAGTCATAGTCAGGATCAAAGTCTCCAAGATCATTGTCAAAAGCCAAGAATTCGTCTTCTGCAAGCATAACGAAGGGAAGAACACAGAACGGAACAAACGCATGAACACCTGTCGAGCTATTGATGGGCTCCCGTCCTCACGTGGCGCCTCGTGCGTGATGTCACGCGGTCACCCGGATGAAGAACCGGTGATCCGAGTGTCACAATGCCCTCTGCCGAGCCCAAAATGCACCAGACGTTCTACAGCCCTCTCTCTCCCGGTGCTCGTTTCCCCCTCTTCAAGATCCATTCACGATCCATTCCATCAATTCCCCCTTTCTAATCCGTCCCAGGGCTTGCTGAGCGCAGCGAAGCATCGAGCGCCGGGGCAGAGAGGGCTGAAGAATGTCTGGTGCCGAGACTATGTGCCACTGTAAGTGCGCACTGGTAACAAGATGGCAACGGCAAAAGATAAGTGACATCTGATACCTACCCATGCACGGTCACGAAATCGCCATGTGCGCGTCTCGATCGATCGGATTTGGCAGATGTGCCATACTAGTGCGACCCCAGAAGCGACACATTAAGCGCCTGACCCCAGAAGCGACTGACACGCCTCCAGGTCTCGCATTTCCCTGTCAATGGATGACTTTCCATAAGCTATCTACGGCTCTACGGACGTCCGTAAATCTCTAAACAGACCGATTTGGGCAAGGGGCAGTGTTGCCGACACCAGATCTGAACTCCGCTGGTGAAATTTAGGATACTGACGTCAAAATCTAGGAGGGGGGTCCGACCCCCCTTTCTAAATCTCTAACAGGCCGTAGACAGTCCGTAGACCTCGGCATACGGTGCCATGACCACGAGAAAGGAAGGAGCCGTCATGACAAAGCGAACTGCATGCCACATACAGACATGACATAAGCCACTCCAGTCACGTGCTGATGATGAGCAGAACATGCCGCCTGTTTAGCGCCCAAGATCCACAGACTGTTTCAAACCCCGCCTAGAAATCTACGGACGTCCGTAGAGCCGTAAATCCTTATGGAAAGTCGTCCAATAAATGTACAAATGCTACACATGAGACTATGTGCTTCTGAACTATTACTTCCAAAAAGAAAGAAGGAAATCGGGAGGAATTCGCTCCCGATACAAGTCAATCTGAGTAGGGTTCCAGGGGTTTACTAACCTTGTTGAATTGCCACAAAGAGATCGGCCCTGCCGATCTTCTTGTAACTCCAGAAATTATTTCTAACATGTGATTTCTAACATGTGCACTGAGTATTATTAGCCCCGCTCAAAGTTGGCGTATTTTCGTAGCCGCCCGTATTTTGTGCAGCCGTATTTTGAGATTCAGCGCCAGCTCTTCGTCACGGCAGTGGGTCACGGTCGCTTATCTCAGCCGTATCGCAGCGCCATCATGCGCGTCGCTCGCGATGGTATCTGCTCAAGAGCCCCGTTCAATATACTCCCTGTTGCACACCATGTCAGGACGCTCAACCCTGCATGACGAGGTTGCCAGGTCATACATCCTACACGCTATGCTGCGAGATCTAGCTGATCCACCCTATGAGCTCGAACTTGAGGAGCTTGCGGCTCGTCTGCAGACACATATGCATGTTCTCGAGTCCATCCGTTCTACTCGATATCTCAATGCTCGAGGACCTGTCCCTAAGCTTGACACTCCATCTCTCTCGCTTGTCTGGGAATATGCAAAAGATCCTGCCCAACATGGACGATTCCTCCACATGCTCCGTGTCTCCCCGCATGTCTTCGAAGTCATAGCTGAGCTTATTCGTGACCACCCGGTATTCCATAACGGTTCCAACAACCCACAAGCTCCAGTAGAGCAGCAACTCGCCATTACCTTATTCCGTATGGGCCGCTTTGGAAATGCCGCATCACTTGAAGACATCGCACGTGAGGCCGGGTGTTCCGAGGGATCTGTGGAGCTCTACACAAGTCGTTGCTTCGAGGCCATCATGTCCTTGCACCACTTGTTTGTACGCCCCCTGACCCCTGAAGAGAAGGAGCAGGAGAAGAAGTGGATTGATCAGCAGGTTGGGTTCAGAGGTCTATGGCGTGAAGGGTGGGTTATGTACGATGGTACCATCATCGTGCTCTATGCTCGGCCAGGACTTGATGGAGATGCCTATTACACACGCAAATGTAACTACGGTCTGAATCTTCAAGTGAGTAGTATCATGTCAACAACAGGCTCCCTGAATAAATTGTCTTGGTAGATTGGAAATGTTCCTTCAACACTTCGCATCGTCGACTATTCATACGGCTTGACCGGATCTGCCCATGATGCAACAGCCTTCGAGCACACGGGTGCTGCCAAGCATCCTGACTGGTTCTTCCGTGGCAATGAGTTCGCATGGACAGACTCCGCATACGCACTCAACAGCCGCACAATTCCCGTCCACAAGAAGCCGGCTTCTCTCCGTCGCGAAAATGCCATTTTTGATCGCATGGTATCACATCTCCGTGTCCACAGCGAGCATTGCATGGGTGCTCTGAAGGGCTGCTTTCAGTGCTTGCGGGGCCTTCGTGTCACAATCAACTCGCCCAAGGCTCATTTCAAGGCGACCCACTGGATCAAGGTTGCCATCATTCTCCACAATCTCATTATTGATATCGAAGGGGAGGTGTCAGGTGCACGATTCGGTGAGCTACACACAAGTGTGGAGGAGGAGGAGGATGCAGGTACACTTGATGATCAGTTGGACTTAGGGCAAGATGAGGATGAGGGGGAGGCAAAGAGGGAATGTCTTGTTGCGGAATTATTAGCATATCGTGCACAGTGTATGGGTGTTGTATAATGAGCGACTAAAGTGATAAGACACAGGGTATACAGATGGACATGGCAACACTAGCTCTAAGAAGACCAGCCAGGACCGACAACATCATCACTCCCACTAAGCGGTGGTTCATGCTCGTCCTCCTCAATCGTGATCACATCAGTGGATATATGGAGGTTCTGAGATGACGATGTTGACGCTACAGGCTTGCCATACCGAGCAAGATGACGATACTCCTCCTTTGTGATAAGACCATTCTGATACTCAGACAGCCAGACACGGCGCTGCTCAAGATCCAGCTTGGCTCGCTTGTCAGCATCCTCACGCTGCATGCGGTCTCGAGCGAGCTGGAGAGTCTCCCTGCACGATGAGTAAGAAAACATATACACCAGAATAGCGCCCATATACGTACCGGGTACTCTCCGCAAATTGTTCCTCGAGAGTCCGCTTCTTCGGTACTGACTTGATGGCTTCATTAGCCTTAGCAACAGCTGCTGCGAGGCGTGCCGTTGTAGGTGTGACAGGCCGTGGCGCCGGAGCACTCAAGGGTGCTGCATCCACAGCGACGGCCTGGGTGGCAGGTTGCGGCACTGAAAGCGAGTTGACATCGAGTCCTCGCAATGCGGGATCAATGTTCTCATCGGTGGTAGGCTGGGAAGATGGCTGAGATAAGGGGATAGGGGGTTGAAGCTGATAGTAGATGGTAGAGTCGCCCTGCGGACCGACACCAGTTGTAATTGCAACTGGCACGACATTAGGCCGTGTGCACAGCAGCCGGTGGAGACGGGGAAAGAACGGCCATTCTTGCTCAACCTGTTCTGATGTCCGGGTTCAGCAACCAAGTACACAAATACCTATATAGAATAACATACCCCAGATGTTCCTTGCACGCTCCGGTGTGTCGTGATCGGGTCCATCCCGCGGCACACTCGCAATCCAGCCTGCAGTTGTGCCATCCTCACTAATGTCCTCCGGGGAATCCTGGCCCTCGAGAATGTGATTCTTCTGAACTCCTCGCCCAGTCGAGGTCACATTACATGCATACGACCGATAAGTTGTTATAAGCCTGCAAGCACATTGGACAAATGCGAAGAGAAAGCTACAACATGAACACTTACGCAGCAATTCTACCCTTGACACGGTCACCAGCAGTGGCACCATCCAAAGCAAAGAGGGTGGGGATCACGGCAGCAGCGATGCGCTTGTGCACCGCAGCCTTATTTGCCGGAGAAGAGTTCTTATATAGCGCACCAAGGGTGCATGAGTTAGATGCAAAGTCACAGTACTATCACACACACCTGGTCCAACTTCTTCCCAAACAAAACCTTCCTATTCTCCTCCTTCTCCGCCTCCGAGATTACTTGCCAGAGGAGGTAGCTATCATTAGCCGACCACTCGATATTCGGGAATTTGGGTTTCGCAGCGGGAGGGTCTTCAGCAGTGTTTTTGCGGGGCTTCCGACCCTTCCCCCGGGAGGGTTGAGACATAGTATTAGAGGAGAGATCGCAGTAGAGTACGAGGAAGCCAAGCTAGAACGACTAAGATAGAGGGCGAGGAGAACGTACAATAAACGCGCAACGGTACGGCGCAGCTGAGCTAAGCGACCGTGACCCGCTGCCGTGACGAAGGGCTGGCGCTGGATCTCAAAATACGGCTGCACAAAATACGGGCGGCTACGAAAATACGCCAACTTTGAGCGGGGCTATTATTCAGTTTCCGAAGGATTACGGATTGCGGTACCTGAGGAATGGGAAGGGGGTCTCTCGAGCGTGACATTCAGCCACTGACCGAGATAAGGCTGACTTTGATTATGAGCGCCTCGACTAGTGTTCCTTCCGCCAACGTCGTTATCAAACGACTGATAATGGCGGTGTTTAAATCGGCAGTCTTCGGCACCGTGACCATGGGTGACAATCTGTGGGCGCCTTTCCGTCGTTTCTGGGGTCAGACGTGTAATTCCACGATGCTCGAAGCGAAATTCCACCGATTGCCTTCATATTTGACGGGTATATACTGTCTACGATACAGATCAAGTGTGCCAAATCTGAGATTTATGGGGGAAGATACGATGGAGATATGCACGAAATACATTCTGGGCCGTCGCTTCTGGGGTCACACTAGTAACTGCTCGTCCCTAATTTGCCTCGGGATCGAAACCTCCGAGTCCATCAAATGCTGCACTCACTTATTCTCCGCATTCTGCTCAAACGAGAACCCTGGACTTATACTGATTGCGGCCAACTTCCTACATTGTGAACTACAGTCCTGATTACGCCCGTCTAAGATCAATACTTTCGTACCTCAGGAATGACTCCCCTTCGGAGAACCACTGTCGACACACACAATTCCGATGTCTTGGTCTCACCGTCATATCCGATAGGCGTACTATGGGTAAATCATCTTGTGTGAACAAAGTGACTCGCTCATAGTATATCAATTGGCTGTGCGATTTCGAGCACTTACTGCAGCTCATCACTGGACGTCACACTCGGCGCGCTCGGGGTATCGTATGTCAGGGAGATACTCGAGATCGATGGGAAAAAATACATGGATTAGGAGCAAACACAGACCTGGTGAGTAGGGTCTCATCTAGTGGGAAGAGCTTCATATAATCGCCACCATGTGTGACCGCCCTGTAATCAAGAAGCGCAGGCATTGGTGCTGTCAATCTCCGGATCTTGAATCCACTCTGTAGACGTCGAAGACGGGGTCTGTGAAGGTCGTTCAAGAGGACAAGCCTTACCTGATATAGACTGCGATCGTTGAAGTGCCCAATGTAGGTGATAACTTCGGGCGGCAACGCTACGTCTTGATAGCGGATGCACCCGTCGATCCAGTACTCACCTACTTACCAGTATGACACTGCATCGCCTGCTAGGGAGATATTGCCTATATCTCTCTCTGGTTAGCTGACAATCTCTAACGAACTTGAGTACATGCCTGACCTCTCTCGCTTTCTCCGTGGGGCAGGCGAGTCTATCTCTTTCCGTTTGCCTCTCTGCCGCTGATCTCCCGCAACGCATCCAGCACCTACAAGTTCAGGACCAATCTCTATGGGGAAGACACCCTGTCTTTGGGCCCGCGGTCAACTAAGCGGTTGTCGAGCAGTCGGCCTTGTCCCATTCCTTTCCGAACCGTGGGAATAATCACGACGCCTATATGCAGAGCTGGTTTACGGCTAACGCCACGCTGCGTCGTCTCATCCTCCACCGCCACTCTTCGTTCCCGCAATCTGCCTCATGTCAACCCCAATCTACCATCTAGATGTCTATAAAATTCCGAGGGAATCGGTTGACGTCGAAGCTCTTGCTCAGCAAGCATGTCGATATCTCAAGATTGCCGCGGAGGATGCTGAATTCCTCAGTTACCATGCTACCCGTCGGGACGAGATTGTAGCTGAACTCTACAGGCAACCTGGGATCAAGCACGATACTAGTCCTGATCAATTTGTTCCATTGGGCGGTGATCCTGACGTGCATCTCATCCCTGCCAATGTCGTGATCGAGCAACTGACGCCGCCGAAGTCACTTGAAGAGTGAGTGCAGTGTTTTGTGGATGTACTCTGTCACTCTGAATTGGTTTTACAGCCGTGTCAAACGTTTGCACTTTGCCGCGGCTGCGATGTCGGTCTTCGGTCAATTCAAGATCACATACGGGCTGCTAGATCATCCCGACCTTGAGATGCAATATCAGCGACGGATGACGCAGATGTACGTAATCCAAACAATCGTCTTCATGGCGTGCTGAATCCATTGCGTCCCTACCATGCAGCATGAGTGAATATTACAAGACGGAATTTGCTCTTCTGTTCCCTGAAAGCATGAAACGTGCTGCCGCCAAGCGCATGCCGGCAACTCCACCGACACTCGGGCACCTTCCCGGCCCTTCCACTCGCCCTTCTACGGTGCCCGGGCGTGTCTCTAGAGAGGACGTAGACCAATTTCTCAACAATCCCAATACGCTTGTGGGGAAACGATTCGTGCACTCCCCTCAGGGCGAAGGTCAAGATCAAGATGATAGTGATTATGGCACATGGCACGTCGCTTCGTACACCGTTCGCGCAGCTGACGGCGGCGTCGAGCACGAGTATCAGGTCGTGCTCGAGGGGTTGGGCGGAGGTGCACTGCCCATGGATGGAGATGAAATTCGATATCTGCTGCAGGACTCCACGTTCGCTGTGTAACTCCATTCGCTTTGTATGCCGTTGTTCTCGAACTTGTTAGTCGTGTCGTACCATCCGTCCATGTGTATGAGTGCTCGCTGTTCGCTTTCCGATTCTCAGTGCCGCGATGGGACATCTGATGTGCAGCGCATGCCACGAAGCTGCATGACCAGCCGTTATAAGTTATTGCCATACGAGCAATACGGTACCGGCCCAGCATACATGAGGTCCAGCGAGACAGGTCCTGACTGCACGAGGCTGAGAGTTATGCACCGGCCGCAGTGCATGCGCAGTAGTGGGCCGGCCACGATATCGCCATGTGCGCTTCTCGATCGATTGGATCTTGCAGATCTGTAACTGCCCATCGACTGCTGCGAATCCTCACCGCAAGTATCTGCTCACTAGACTCTTCGGATTCATCCTACTTGCAAATATATCCCTGCTTATGAAACTACAGTCCCGATGGCGCGCTTCGAGGACCAAGACCTGGGGACCTGCGGAACGACCTCCGCCAAGGACCATTGTCGACACACGAATCTTTGTCCTCGTGATTATCAGTTCACATCCAACAGGCATACTATGGGTGAGTTATCGCGTATGGGCGCGATGATTCATCCATAGTATCTCTTTTGGTCGAACAATCCTGTTAACTTGCCGCAGCTCGGCTCCGTCGGCGCTGTCAATGAGGACAGAGATACCGGAAATATATTGATGACCTTTACGGAGCAGGAGCATAGAGAAGGATGGTGCGTACTAGTAGAGATTCATCTATCGAACAAAGCTGTATGCGACCGTCCTGTACGAGAAGCGTTATGCCACCTATCACGAGACCTCTCTGTTCTGAACGGAGCATGTATGTAGGGGCTGTAACAGGCCCTTGACAATGGGATATGGGTGAGTTATCGCGCACCGGCCGCCGACCCTATGCAAGGGTTAGCAGCCTGAGATTGCGGGTAGTGGGCCGACGACGTGGTGAAGTGCACGATGTCGCTCCACTCTGCTATGGGGGCGTGGCTGCCCAAAGCCTTCGCTTCGGGCAGCCACAAGGGTTCGCACTCGTCGAAGCACCCGTCGAAGGTGGGATCGTCGTCCATCGGAATCGCGAAAAGGTCGATCGAAGGGATTCCCATGGAAGTGCTGACGTTCGCCTCGACGATCGACGCGTCAAGGACGGCGTTGAGCGTTGGCTTGCCCGCGGCCGTATTGTGCGCTCCTGCATCCGCCTGCCAGATGGCCTCGGGTACGCCCGACAACGGGCCGACGGCGATTGAACGAGCTCCGGTGTAGTGCGCGGGGAGTGCCCCGACGGTGCGAGCGTGCACAACGTACCCGCGAGCATCGTACGGGTTGACGAGGGCGTCCGAGGACGTGCTCTCCGTGCTGTTAGCGAGGCTGCGCTCCAGCGCTTCCAAGTCGAACGGTTCGTCCTCCGGGTTGTAGCCCTGCTCCGACAGCCGTCCGGGTAGCACTAGGGCGGGATGGCTGACTGAAGCTAATCCGGTCGATCGCCCGCGAGTGGCGTCCAAGATGGAGCCGTAGGTGGTCGGAATGGGAACTCTGTGCCAGTTGACAAGTGGCTCATGCACCCCGACGGCAGGCACATCGGGCTGCGACGCTGGCGATGGCGGAACAATGCCGCCGTTGATGACGTTGGCGAAGTGGTGGTCGGCGTAACCCGCGCCAGCGAATGGTGCGTCCCCGAAAATGTCGAGTGGCGGGCACTCTTCGCGCGGGGCGGGAAGGAAGGCGGGTGTATCTTCAGGGATCGCATACCAGGTGGCTGCATACCCTTGTGCACCAACGTGGCCTCCAACCCGGGAGTAAGGTTTCTGCTCCCGCAGCTGTCGACCCTGCGTGGGCTGCGTCGTCGCCACCCTCCGACTACGATGTCCGGAGTCGAAACGGGCTGCTGAGTCTGGCTGTAGCCCGACGGCAGTCGTCGACACAGCGGACTCGTTAGGGAGCACATCCCAGGAGATCTCGGCGGAGGTGGGGGCCGAAACGGTATATGCAGGGAGTGTCTTCTTGCGGGTGTCGCGCTCGGCCTCAGACGCGTCCACCATCGCGGGACGGTGCACCGCCTTACAGGCAGAGCGCAGGAGAAGGCGTGAGTGGCTCGTTCCCTTCACGGTGCGGGTCGGCGTGTACACTCACCTGTGCTTTCGTGGTTACAGGAAGAGGCAAAGTCGTAAGAGGCGGGTACGCCGCCCTTGCCTTTTTGAGAGCGCGCTGCAGCCGTCTCCTGGCGTTCGCCTGCTCCGTCTGTGGCGTTCTGAACCTTCGCTTCCCGCTCATCCCCTCCAACCCCCAAACCATCATTGTGTTCACAATCTAGCCAACCTGGTGAGTTCATGCAGAGGCGCTCTTTAAGTCATGTAGTCTTACGTCGTCCTTGGGGATCGCCCTCGCCACCGACTTCGGGATGGACTGCTTCTGGACGTATTCCCCCGTCGGCGAGTGCTCGGCATATTGACCTGGTTTTCTGGGGGATGCAGGCATGTTTGTTGGCTATAGCAGGAGATGGAAGCGTTGGATCAAGTTGGTGGTTGAAATTCTGCGAATCGGTTGTATAGCTCGTGCCAGAGACTCTGATATGGACAACGATGTCCTCGGGAGCTGTACACGGGCACCCTGAATCGCTTTCTCATGAGGAACGCGTGTATCAACGATCACCTTGCAGATACCCACAAAGCTGTGGCGCCGAGGTCCAGGTCAGAGACTCTGAACAGAAATGAACGATTGTCATTACGTTAACTCTTCCGTGCTATTGCCTCAAGGCAGCAGGCTGAGTTAATTGAGCGATGGGGTCATGGACCAGGAGGAGCCCACGCTCTACTCGAAGAGAAGCCTAACCTGTGTCGCGGAGTCCCTCAGGAACTATATCAGGTCACTGACTGTGCTTCTCTTTCGGGCGCGCGCGAAAAAGGGTACCCGTGCATGTTCTGCCGAGCGGGCACGCAATTACGGATAGAATTTGTGACCGGAAACGTTGAGGGAAGGGCCAGGCCGGGCCAACATACGGCAGGGACCGATGGCACTCCATCAATCGCTGCGCGGAAGAAGGTACTTAGTTAGCCTAATATTCACAGCCCGCTACGCGCGAGTGCTTCGTTAGTGGCTGCTGTGTTGGAACATGCGGACGTGGCAAGTCAATGGCAGTGCAATATTCTGTGCCGAGAGCGAACGAGAAGTAGCGGATGAAATGCACTCCGAATCAACATACCAAATGGCCTTTCAGTATAGACAACCGTGTAGAACAATAGTGGTTGCAGGAGCTGGCCCAACGTTGGACGACGGACATGTCGATGGGGGGACATGATGATAGCAATAAGCGCCCAGAAGAACAACAAAGACTGCCATAAACGGGCGAGTCCCTTGTTCTGGCGTCCACGTACGATGTTCTATTGTGCGACTTCCCGGCAGGAGTCCCGTCGTGGCTGCGCGAGGGACGTAAGTGACCTGGACTAGAGAACGGCCTCCGGACAGGTAGGGAGATCAGATTCAAAACATCGAAATTGCTACAAATGTCTCAATACACCTAGATCGCAAATATGTCTAGAACAAGCGAACGAGATTAGCACATGTTACCGCCACCGGCCCCGCCTCACCTGTTCAATCTCCCCGGATCATACACGACACCTCGTCCAGCCGCCCCTCTACAATCGCGATATCGCCCATTAGCCGCTTGTACCTCCTCTCCATCTGCTCCAGGTACTCGTACGAGAACGTGCTTTCCGCCTTGAAAGACATCGTCGTCGTCGTCATGGAACTTTTGTCCTCGTACGGCGCCGGCACCGCGCACACGGGAACCGGCGAGACGGAGCGCCTTGCGTCTTCTCCAGATCGCGAAGTGCTGTGACCGCTCCGCAAAAAGTATGAGCCAGTTGGCGTCTGGCTCCGCCTCGACAGTATAGACATTGCCGAGCCCGGACGCGGGGTTGGGCTCGGACTTGGGGGCACGTCCGAGTCAAGGTCCGAACTGAGGTCTTCGATGAGCACCTCTTGCGTCAGCCCCGTCGTACTCCCGCTAGCTCCGCCCATTCCCGACGCAGACAGTATTGACGTGCCCAGGAGCATGCTCTCCGAGCCGGAGCGCGAGTGCGACTGCGAGTGCTGTGAACCCTGTTCGACGCGAAACGATATACCGCCATCACCGACGACGGCTACGGAGCGGTCAAAACGGAGCTCCTTGAGCGTGCTTGCACCCGAGCGAGTATTTGAAAGCAGAAGTCGCGGCTTGCGACCGCTCTCCAACACCTTCTTGCGTGCGCTCATGCCGACGCAGTCGACGAGCTGCTTCATCGCTTCGCGGTCGGATACCGCGCGCCGCTGTACGGTCCGGCGGACCGTGCTGGCGCGGGGCAACGTCTGGAAAGGGGTAAGGGCGTTCGGGCGTACAGGTGTCGCGAAGGGGTATCGCGGCCCCACAGGAGTGCTTTGGACATTCGTAGGCAGCTGGCTGAACGGTGTAGGGGGAGCGAAGAGGTGTTGTAGCAGGCGAGGCGTGCTGAGATTTGCGCGGTGCTGTGGGCTAGAAGACGTCTTGTCGAACGCGTCCATCGGTGGGCCCCACGTGAAGCCGATGAAGGCTGAAACGGGTTGGTCGCGCAAAATAGAGCGGGTAGAGGCGTGCGACGGTGTTGCCTGAACAATGGACATCTGTGAACCGCCAGGTGCGGTCATGGGCGATGATTGGAAGAGGGCTGAGAATGCGAACGCCCGTGATTTAGACTGAGACTCTTCAGGAGAGTCGGAGGTAGCTGGCGCTGTAGGCGCGACGGACATTGCATACGTGAACTGGGGCACGTGTAGTTCCATCGGTTTCTCCCCTGTGATACAGTTCGTGAACGGTCCGCTTTCAAAATAGGCGGTGCTTACTTAGATGAAGATTCTCGAAGTTGATACCTGTAAAGAATGGATGGTCCTTGAGCTCCTTGACATCGCATCGGCCTAGTCTCAGCTCTGCGCTCGTCAACAGGCTACACTTGATGTCAGTGAAGGAAGGATTGACGGCTCGACTAGCTCTAACCACATACCGGCGCAGGAAATCCTGTAATTGCGCAGAGACAGGGGCAGATGCATCGAATTTCAGGCTTCTCTACCGCCACTGTGAGCTAGGTATATCAATGGTGAGACGAGCAATGAGACTGACATGATGTTCCATGATCTTCGCATACGTATGACGAATCTCTCTTGAGAAGAACGGCGCAATCCCGTATGCCATCTCATACAGCATCGCACCCATACTCCACCAATCAGTCTCGCGGCCGTACCCAGATTGTTTGTGCTCATTCGCCCAGCGCTCGTCGTCGTCCATCTCCATAGCGACTAAAGCCTCTTCATGTGCCTGCAAAACCTCGGGAGATATGTAGTCGCATGTTCCACACGGTACGAGGCAATGGTCCAGAGGTACTGCCTGGCTTCCATCGGCGGCTGGAGGGAGCAAAGGGGCAGCGGAACCGAAGTCAATCAGTCGAATGTGGCCGCTGCTAGTGAGGACGAAGTTGTGCGGTTTGATGTCACTGTCTAACCGGTGAGCAAATAGCATCATATACCATGAATGGAACAGAACCGACCGATGCACGAAGCCTTCTGAGTGGCACCAGTGGATCGCGCTGACGATCTGCGGCGCCCACCAACGAAGGTCTGCTTCGAGGACTTTGCCGTCATGAGGACTAGATTCTATGACGTCCCACAAAGTTCCTCCCTCAACATAGTCCATGACAAGGTTGAGATGAGTAGGCGTCTGGAAAGCGCACAAGAGGTGCGGAGCCCAATGAGAATCCGTTTTCCTTGCTCGTAAGAGGACGTCGCGTTCCAGCTGCGGCGAACATTGCTATGCAGGCTATTGGTCAGGAGGTAAGTAGATAATGGCGGATAGAGACATACGTCTCGCGTCTTGAGAGCGAATCTCTTCTCGGTCGACTTGCGGACATAGAGACATCCGTCAAGTTTACAAGTGACGACGTCAATCTATCGCATGCGCCTGTCAACTTCCATTGTCTGCAAAAGCAGCAGACGCCTGCAAGTGAAACGGACACGACTTAATACCCCGAATTGGCCGTACTCCAGGGTACCGACAAGGTCAAGGTCCTCGTCGCTGAACCGTAGGGTGTCGATTTGGATTGTCTTGGCTTCGCAACCCACATGTGAGCGAGGAGCGCGTTTAGTGATAACCCTTGTACTTACCGGTCTTCCCAATGACCGTCTGCCCATGCATCAATTGGTCTAAGACTGTTCCCTCGGCATCTTCTCCTTCGGCGCTGATGAGAGAACTCAAGCGAGTTTTGCGTTTCTGCCATGATAAAGACATCCGAGACCATCAGGACGATATCAGAAACGAGCGTAGCTCAAGTGAGATGCGCCAAGGCATACGCGGGGACCGATACTCCGAGGGCTGGGAAGATGGAGAAGGAGAAGGAGAAGGAGGTGGTCAAGATCAAGATTAATGTCGCGACCGCGTCTCGACGCGCTTGTCACGTGGTCGCTGCGCAACCACCCATCACCATCCCGTTTTGGCAATCCTTGTTCAACTTCATAGCTTCATCTGCGGCGCCCACTAAATTTGCTGCACCCACCTCAGGGCCGCACTTCTCGCGTACGCGGCTTCTTCGAAGACTCCCTCACTTTGGCCCGGTAGGTGTATAATCCCATGTGCTTATTTCGTGTGGAGCCAAATATACTCTGCACTCTGAACCTCAGTGAGAGGCCCAGCCATGGGTCATTGTAACAGTACCTGAGGCCACTGGTGTTGCGACGCTGCTTAGTTGTCTGTACTGCACGCGATGCTCCAGACTTCTAGTCACGGAAGGATCCTTCTAACTCGGGCGCAATCTCAGTGCCACCCAATCTGATATTCGCACACAGGCACTATCTACCTGTTCATCTTCGCTAGAAGACACGGAGTAGGGCGGAGAATGACGCACGTGTGAAAAAATTGCTCTTGCCGCGTCATCCTGACGACCCCATCTTGCTTGCAACGCCTTCTCCTAGCTATGCACTCCGTACGTGGCATCCTAATTCACAAGCCATGTACCACTCGGAGACCAAATGCACGAATTTTGGGGAGTGCAGCCTCCATATCACAGCGCAATTCGTCTTTGTGCAAGGTAGGGTACTCCAGTAGGATCGTTCGCCCTCGAGACCCGCGCCCAAGGCTTCGCGTCTTCAAATTATCGTAATCTCACTGATGAACGTCAGATGATGCATACATGCTACCGGATGGTTTCCAGACTGACTTGCTCCCGGGCGTGCACAGCCTCGGGTCCGCTGTATTGAAAAGGTGCTACGAGACGATGCAATCTACCTCTGGCAATTGAGTACCCCCTTGTACCTCGGACAACCATCTCAATACAGCGCGCTAGTTGTCTCGTGCTCGTGGCGACATGCATAGAAGACCTGGGCCGAAACAGACCGTCCCAACCAGGCTCGTGGAAGGCTGCGACAACCAGATAGGCTCTTACTCTTCCCCTACCTGCTCGTGTCGGACGCTGAGGCCAATACAGATTAGCAATTTTCCGTTATGGGGCATTCGCTGGAAGAAGACCCCTCTCACGACCCAACTGCTTATACTCCGCCAGTTGCGGCGGCTACACCGCATATCCGTCTCCCCTCTTACCCATCCACTCCTCAGGTTCCCCTTTCATCTCTTACAAAATTGGACGACCCTGTGGCGCAGCCTCCTGCCCTGGCTCATGTCGATCAAATGAGTCATTCGAAGCATGCCGACGTGAGTGAAGATTTTTATGTTTAGATGAGTGCTGGTATCAATAAGATTCGCGTTCCAGCAGACCATACCAGGCATCGAACCAGTGTTGGATGGTCACGGCAACAGGATCGTGTCCTCTCAGTCGAACCATGACCACGAGGCCTCCCAGGACAGGAGCGTATGCTCTATTGCCCACCGTTCACATCACGCTCCGCAGTCCCATGGCGGACTCCAGAACGCCGAATGGCGGAATCACCTCACTGGCCAACTTGAACCTCGCGCGACATCTCCACCCGACCGCCTCCAGCCCCTGGTCGAACACTAGCTTGGGGGTGGTTGCATGCAATACATGCCATGTTCGCATGAAGCGCACATTGCTATGGCCAAGCCTAGCTACTACGGCGCAGTCAGGGATTGCCTCGGTTTTACGCCCGAGCTTGTACACACTTCCCAAGTCGCAGAACCATCCTTCGACACTTCTCCGGCTTCAGGTCGTCCACCGAGGCACCGTCAGGCGAATGCGCCACGAGCTTCAACAGTAATCGAACTTCGCGACATCTTAAACCCGAGCTCTCCTGTCCCGAGGGAGGAGAGCCGGTCTCCGTCTCCCAAGCTGCCGAACCATCCTATTCCTGTCCCAGATGTCCCTATGTCCGGTATCCATTCAGCCACTCTTCCCGACTATGCAGGCAATTTCACGGAGACTGCCGCCGGGGATGACTCTCTCGCAGGCCACTACTATCGTGGGGTGACTGAGGACTCTCCGACTTTCCCTACCGAGTTTCGACTGAGCTCTCACTCGGAGTTGCAGCCTATGCCCCAGAATGTAGTCTCACGCCACTCCATTTAATAGCTCCCTCGTCAGGACTCTGCTGTGGTGTCTTCTGGTGCACAGCGAGTAGCGTATCGGTGTTGAACTGCGCCGGTCTCACCCATACTCGATGTCGAGCATGCAACGGAGAGTGAGAACTCGTCTGTCGCGTTGGTTCGGCGCGGCAGATGGGCTGGATAGCGACAACCCGCTCCCGGTCGTTCAATTAGGATCTCAGCTGTGTTGGCTGTATGGTTTCCTCCCGAGCTATCCCATCCTTGTGATCCCGCTGCAATGATAGGTAGTGACTGTGCATCAAACATGCTATGGACGACCTAACAGGCCGAACTTCGCCACTACATCCCATAGCAGGCTCACGTCGACCTCTTTTGCTCGCAAACCGGGTGGAACATCGATGGCAAGTGATAAGGCACACCGGGTGAACCCTGGTTTCGGGGTTTACCGAAAGAAGCGAGGCTCGTGGGACGCACCGAATGTTGGGAACCCGCGGGCCGCCAGAAGGCGAGGATGTTTCGACCGCCCACGATCGCCTCATGTCCTATGCTGTGCTGAGCGGCATGCTGGCCGTAGGATCCCACAGCCCCAATCAATCAACTTGACAGGTCAGTTTGCAACGTTATGGGGGCGGCTTCTTGACTCAGGCGATTATCTGAAGCGCAACCTTGAAACGGAAAGAGTCGTCTTCTGGGGCGATGTCGCGGTCGGAACGCTTTCTGAACTGCCACGAACCACCTCGAGGTAGCCGCACTTCTCTCGGATGGACTCCGACTTCGAATTCATCAACGGTGGAGGACGCAATCCCACTATCAGCCAAGCAGCATGAGAGGCTGGATGAGCTTGGACTGACGAGCTACCGTGACCTGACTGTTTATCGTGGCCCTAAGTCACCAAGTAAGGTTCTTCCTGACCGTACATGCACTGTAGCGAGCAATGCAAGTCTTTGGACAACGGAGCCATACGATCGGTGGCGACTGGTGAGGCTGAACCTCCCAGTCTATCCCAACCAATTAGTACGTCAACGCCGCGCACACGCGCTGTGGCTCCGTGTTGGTACTATGTCCCCAAGGATGACGCGTCTGAGCCGTGTACCAGTGTACCAGATACAGCGCCGGATACACCTTCTGGCTGTGGCTCCCGCGATTCTATCTGGCTATCCTCATAGGGAAAGCGGAGGCTCCAATCGGCATCGAGCTCGGCGTTGCATTTCTCTGCCCTTTGGACACACGCAATCTTTCGGCACGAGACAAACCTCGTTCGCCACTCCAGCACTGCTGCGGCTATAAGATGCATGGGCTTCGCCCAACTACTCCATTTCACCGTCCCAGTAGTCGCCACCATGGCTCGTTCCAAGGGTCCAAAGCAGACAATTCCCGCACGACTGAATGCCGCGTGCGGCGGGAAGCTACGTGCACTTGACCCTGTCAGAATGCCATGACGGGAAGCTGACAAGGCAGTAGTTCAATAAGCACTCGCCTTGCTGGGGAGATCGGTGGGCAGTATACGGCAAATCGATCAAAGGCCGGAAGCGCGACAAGCTCGCGAGGTCCATGTCCCTGTCTGCAAGCAGCCGCTGGCTGTACGATGCCGGTCACAGGCAGCTCGTTCCAACCTACGGGTATGCCACCCGCTCATTGCACTTGGAGCGACCTCCTGTTACTGGAACCCAGTACGCCTCTCAAGAGCACTCGTACACTTTGATGTCATCTTTGGTCGCATCGCCCGTATGGTCGTCTGCCCATACATGCGACTCTTCTGCGGCCATTCGCTCACCTTCATATGAGCCGCTTGTTCCATCTCAGCCAACATACCTGCAACAACACGTCTTCGGTGCCACGCAACACTATCATGCCCAAGATGGCCAAATGAACACCTATCATAGCGAGTGAGGGTCAAGTTGTGGAAGGCCGTCGTCACAGCCCACGGCATTCATCCCTCACCGCACGTCCTATGCGCCGTCAATATCAACAACCATGGACATCGGTCTCACTCATCGCTCATCGCAATCATGTGGCACGTCGCACGCTTACGCCGCACCGCTGTCCAGCAGCCAATCGCCCGCAGTCCTCGATAGATACGTCGTGCGAGAGAACAGGTTCCCTGAGTGCGCAACTGAGGACTGGGACTTGCTCCTTGGCAGCTCCTATCCTATGCAGTCCAGCGCTCCTGAGATCGCCCATGTTATGAGCGATTTCTCGAGCCTCATCGCAGACCTGGAAGAATACGTCCGACAGAGCTCTTCCCACACATAGCAAGAGAATCGGAAAGCGAACGAAGGTACACGTCGGACTGTAGCGACACATGTATATAGGCCTCCACTGCCCAGACATTGTGTTTCAGTACTACGTCAGGGTACTGCGTGTCATCACAGCTAGGGTCTGCCACCTACTTTGGCACGTAGACGAGCTCAGCTGGAATCACAATTCGTCGTCCCCTGAGGGAATAAATGATACTGTAGGCGAAATCCAGTGACGTACTTACCGGATTACCACTAGCCCCTGGCAGGCCTCGAGCTGTACTGGAGTCAGATATTTGTGAGCATCAACATAACTTTGATAACTCCCAGTATCGTCGCATAATGATCTAGAGGGCAATGGAGTGAACATGCGAGTAATGGTGTGGAAGCTGTCAACATGGTTGGCGCTTATACTGCCTCTTTGGGGACTGCTCGGAACAGTTCGGAGCATCTCCCACGCCACTACAGCACCTCTTCTAGAGCCAGCCAGTATGTCTGATCCAGAACTTGAACTTGCGCCGCTACAAACTCCTCCCTAGCGTTATGTCTCCAAGATTGACGAGACGCAGTTAAGGCTACGCACCCGACAGCGCCCGCATCTGTGACACGCCGGATGCTACCCTCCCGGTAGCTGAGTCATCTGCGTCGAAAGTCGGCGGCGCACCATGCATACATCTACTACGATCGCTCAAACGATGCAAGATGGTATCTGTTGTAGCATAAAACTGCAATGTAGAACGTCACTATACCATACAGAAGCACGGACTTATCCTTATCAAAGCATCAGGTATGCGACAGTCTTGCAGACTGTAGTACGAATCTGATATTGACCATGGATTCTCACCCCCTGTACTCAGCTGAACGTATCGTCGATGAAGTAAAAATTTGGCTTCTCAATGGCATCGGGTGCACTTGTATGTTGTTCAATCTTGACTTCCTGGGCGTACCATCCGCTGGCTCGAAATGTTGCCTGGATATACAGAACCGGCTGCCTGCTCCCCGGCAGACTACGTACCGGCGGCGCATCTCTACCGTCCACGTCCAATCTTTGATCCCTCTCATTGCTGTTATCAATACTTTATCTTTGCCGTGCATGCTGTCCGAAGCTAACGATGAGCGATGCCAAGGCTCTACGTATGTCATTTCTGCGGATTCCATGTCGGCGCATCCAGCTCATCTTAGTGATAGGAAAGTGAACGTCATCGGCTTATCTTTGACTGGGCTCATGAATGCAAGATATACGTCATGTACTTGTGGTTGCGGAAAGTATTCGAACGCCCGTGTTTAGGCGCCCATTGACTGCTCCTCCTCCTGGTTCTGTAAGTAGTATAAGTAGACATATCTCTACCGTAATTGAGGTATATATTGCTGTTATTGTCAGGAACGTGTGCACACCATGTGATAGGAATATGATCTCTACCTTGAGCCAAACTAGGCTCAACAAATCTCAGCATGCTCAGTGAGCATGAGCAGAACATTTGCTGTTCTTGGGTACTGAGAATTGATCAGAGTACCTCCAAATTCTTGCGCATGAGTCTGCTCATAAGGGAGATTCTACAACATTAGAAAGTATGGTGTATCTATGCCTCTGCTTGGAAAGATTAGTACTAACATAAGTCGAATGTAAGCGTGGTTCAAGGATACTGTATTCTGCTGGGCATTTCTCCAATGCCATAGCTAAAGCTAGAGACTTGAGTTCTGATTAGATTT